TCTCCACCCAGGAGTAAATGGGTACCTATGAGGGCAGTGATGGTTATTGTGATTGAATTAGCTTCCTTGCGCCTAACAGGCTGCATCGAGCTGTATACTCCCGAAGGGAGCTGAGATGGTATATGGAATGTTTAATTGGCCCAATGATTAGGGGTAATAATAATGTAAAGCACTTTGATCTTAGTTAAAAGCGCTATATAAGAACCTGTTATTATTACGTATAAAAACATCTGGCTGCAGCTGTTTAAGAACGCTGTTAGCTAATGCGCGCAAATGCTATCCGAAAACTTTCTCATAGAAATGCACACATTCCATACCGGATGTAATTTTCTTTTCATTGCGGACTGTGTGGACAAATTCTGAGCGTCGCATAATATGCAATTTGACCCTTCGTGAATTCGAAACGGAGCCTGAGCAAGTGACGGGAATTGAAAATTTACAAAACAGATAAGATGTACAGATTTGCCTACATTACTACGCTTTTCACCGAAAAAAAAAAAGCATTTATGAATGGGAATAAAAGAGTGACGACTCAGTCTCAACGGTCGTTGCAGGGTCGTGGCCGTGATAACTTGCAGGTCACAGGTCACGCAAAATCTATCAAATCAGAGCGTAGCCCGTCCAAGCGTCTTGTTTGCAAGGCGGTGGATACGAGCGAAAGACCCCTCTATCTAGCAGGGCGGGCGGGCACGCCTTTGAGGGACGGGGGGGGGGGGGGATGTCATCCCCCCCATTTTTTATTCTATCGTGTCCCCCCCCCCACTTTTTTTCGTCCCCGAATAAAAAGTGTAGCCTATTGTCACAGAGTGACTTTATTTTAATAAAACGAATTTACTCTTTATTGGTTGTAGAAACAAGTTTATTTTTATGTGGCCTGAATCTAGTACATTGGAGTTGTAGAAACAACATTTACTTTTATGTGGCCTGAATCTAGTACATTGGAAGTTGGAATTTGGAATGTGTTTTATGTAGAGGGTAACTCAATGTACTTTTATTGAGGCTCTCATACCCAACATTCTGGGAATAGGTGAGCTAGCCAAACCATGTTTTGTTGAGCCTGTGACGTTTAAATAATTAAGCCACACCTAGTTTGTTATTAGTCAATGGGGCTTACGTAATACTCAATGTGAATTTTAAATAGGCAATGAGAAGCCTGAGTGGACAGAATAAAATTATCATGTTAATTTATGCATAGGACTAATTTTATTTTGGGTATACAAGCGTGGGCAAATGTAAGAGAAGGGACTTGCTAAGAGAAATTCCGAGTAGAGGGCAGTGGCCGGACTCGAAGTGGTTTTTGAGACTAAGAAGCCAAGGGAGATAGGGCAATACATAGCCAACCTGCGGCAGAGCTAATGAGAGCTCATTGAGTCTGAACTAATGAGAGTTCACGAACCAGAAATTCAGCAGTGTATAAGCCAGGAGTCCTTCAATTCCTGTAAGTTAAACTATAAATAAAATTATTGTTGTATTAAACTTTGCTTAATTTATTCATTTTTGTGGGAACATAATATCACTTTAATAACTGGAGACTAATTTTTATGAGATTTTGGAAAGATTAAGCGTGAAATGTATTGGCTAGAACTTGGCATTAATTTTGTATAAAATACAATAAGGCTTATATTGCATAAAAAAAAACGACAAGTGTTGGCCTACGAAGGTGCTAGTTGCGTTTGAGGAAATTTGGCCAAACAACACATACTTTTGTTACGCAGAAATGTTTGGATATTTTGGAGAACAAATTTGATATTGCTTGATTAGTTATTGTACAATATTAACATATTGGCAAACTATATAGAGAACACGTCCTTGTTATTGCTATGTTTTCAGGGCTTTTAATCTTGGTTTTGGGATTGCGTCCCCGTGACCAGAGGAGTGAGGCCGGACCGCAGCGGCGGGACCAGAGGACCGTGTGGACTCCGCTGGCCAAGTGGGAAAGCTACGGGCATAGAGCATTTGCTGGACACAAGACAACAAGAGACACTCGGACACTTCTTTTTCTATGCTGTAACTAATATTTGTGATTGTATTTAAATACTGGAAGTTGCCCCTTAATCTGAATTCAATAAGGAATATAAATCGTGTGTATGATAAGTCTGTAAATAAATATAAATATTGTAAAGAGAAGAGTGAAGGCCTAGTTTTCTCTGAGTGTCAGTACTGTTCATTGGAGGGTGACTATAACCAAAGGTCCATTTCATGGGGTGGGCAAACCCTGGTATGTGACAATTGGCGATCTTGCCAGGACAAGTTAAACAGGATGTGAATAATTTGAGAACAGTCTGGTATAGTCATTCACGCTGACACACAGAATGAAAACTTATGCATGGTGCTTAAAGTTTAATAGTTTTTCAGCTTCAGGCAAATTAAGGCTTGTAAATATTTTGCTGCCTAATGCTGTATTTCTAGTACTAAGTTGCACTATGGAATTTGAGAAATACTTGACACTCGGTAAGTCCTTAGGTCTTGAGGGCAATGACTTAATGCAGTTTGCACAAAGTCGGGAGGCAAAAGATGAGAAAAGTAGAAGAGAACAAGCCGACCGTGACGAAAGGGCAAGAGATCGAGAACACCAAAAAGAGATGAAAGAACTAGATCTTAAACTTGAAGAAGCTAAGAAACAGGCCAAGGCTACGAAAAGTGAAACTAAACCAGCAATGAAACAACCAAAACTACTTGCATTCAATGATGGCAAAGACGACATGGACTCGTTTCTTCGTCGTTTTGAGAGATTTGCCGAGACTGCAAAATGGCCAAAGGCAAATTGGGCATGTTCACTATGTGGTTTGCTCACTGGAAAGGCACTTGATGTATGTAGTAGGTTACCTGTAGATCAAGCTAACGATTTTGACGCACTCAAGTCAGCTTTGCTGCACAGATATCAGCTTACTGAAGAGGGATTTCGCATGAAATTTAGGACCACAAAACTTGAGGCAGGTGAAACTTTCTCACAGTTTTCTATTCGGTTAGCAAGTTACTTGGACCGATGGGTTGAACTTGGAAAGGTAATGAAGTCATATGATGACCTGTGTGATCTCTTACTTAGAGAACAGATTTTGACAATTTGTAGCAGAGATTTGGCATTGTACTTGAGAGAAAGAAAGCCAACTAGCTGTCGGGATATGACACAGCTAGCTGACAAGTATGTTGAAGCACACAGGCGTTTAGGATTCGATGGTAGCAATCGAAGGTTTCAGAGACCACCTAGTACTGAATCAAAGGGATTTGACACAAAACAGTCAACACCCCAACTTCCTGGCAATCCTCAAGGAGAACATGCAAAATTCACTGAACAAAGAGAATGTTTTGTTTGTGGGAAGAAGGGACATATCGCCAGATTTTGTAGATACAAAGGTCAAAGTAATGTACGTTTTAATAGTAACAGACCTCAGTCTTCTAGTTTACAGGTTCAGAGTGTTGAGGCCGAGAGCCAGGGTGACGAAGTTGAAGTTCCAGTTGAAGAGGTTGAAGTCTCCGCTTGCATCACCAAGAAGTCTGCTCTAATTGGGAACCCAGGCACCATAGGGGAGCATGGCAAAGCGACAGGAGGGCATGAGATTCCTCTCATCAGCGCAGCTTGCACTGTGGGTAAGGAGATGCCAGTTAGGGATGGTTATGTCGGTGATAACATGGTCAGCGTACTTAGGGACAGTGGGTGCAGTACCGTGGTGGTAAAACGCGATCTAGTCTCCGATAGCCAGATACTTGAAACTAGTCAGAAATGCGTATTGTTAGACGGAACTGTACGCTGCGTACCGGTTGCACGCATTTTCATAGACACACCATATTATGTCGGAACAGTTAACGCGTTGTGCATGCCAAACCCACTCTATGGCTTGATTTTAGGCAACATAAGTGATGTGAGAGATCCACAAAACCCTAATCCGAAATGGGCGCGTCGAACTCCGCCGATCAATGTATGCCAAACCAAACCGAGTAACACGCTCACAATCCTCACATCCAAACCAAAATGACGCGTATCATATCAAACCTAGTGAAGCGTTGAAGACCAAATTTTGCAGTGACGCACCGGCGTGTGTTAAGCTAGAAATTGATGACAATTTGGAAGATGATAATCACGCGAATAACGCTGACGACGTGTCGGCCGCAGTCAAAACGCGTGCGCAGAAAGTGAAACGTGCAAAGGACTTAAAACCTCTTAGAGTACCAGAAGCTCAAAGCTTTTCGGAATCGCGAGCGGATATCAAACAAGCTCAGGTTAATGACTCAACTCTAAGTAAATGTTGGAAACTAGCACAAGATGGAACAGTTCAGAAAACCGGCCGTGCAAATGAAGTCAGGTATTTCATATCTGATGGTCTATTGTTCAGGGAATTCAAATCACCGTCCGTAGAAAATGGTCAAACAATTAACCAAATGATTGTACCGCAAACATTGAGACCAAAAGTGCTCAAACTGGCCCATGATGCCATGATGGCAGGACACCTAGGCACAACTAAAACAACCGATCGTGTCTTAGCAAATTTCTTTTGGCCGGGCGTACAGGGTGATGTGCGACGTTATTGTGCTTCGTGTGACTCATGCCAAAGAACAATTGCAAAAGGTCGTGTAGGAAAAGTACCGCTCGGTAAAATGCCATTGATAGACACCCCATTCCGACGCGTAGCGATAGATCTTGTGGGACCGATTGACCCAGTAACGGACCGCGGTAATCGCTATATTTTAACTATGGTTGATTACGCTTCACGTTATCCAGAAGCTGTTGCTCTACCGCGTATTGACACCGAGCGCGTAGCAGAGGCCTTGCTCGAAATGTTTTCACGCGTTGGAGTTCCACATGAAATCCTATCAGATATGGGAACGCAATTTACAGGCAACCTCATGAAAGAGATAAGCAGACTTTTATCGGTCAAACAATTGCATACAACCCCTTACTTGGCGACCTTGCCACATACCAGGGTTTGCCCACCCCATGAAATGGACCTTTGGTTATAGTCACCCTCCAATGAACAGTACTGACACTCAGAGAAAACTAGGCCTTCACTCTTCTCTTTACAATATTTATATTTATTTACAGACTTATCATACACACGATTTATATTCCTTATTGAATTCAGATTAAGGGGCAACTTCCAGTATTTAAATACAATCACAAATATTAGTTACAGCATAGAAAAAGAAGTGTCCGAGTGTCTCTTGTTGTCTCGTGTCCAGCAAATGCTCTATGCCCGTAGCTTTCCCACTTGGCCAGCGGAGTCCACACGGTCCTCTGGTCCCGCCGCTGCGGTCCGGCCTCACTCCTCTGGTCACGGGGACGCAATCCCAAAACCAAGATTAAAAGCCCTGAAAACATAGCAGGACGTGTTCTCTATATAGTTTGCCAATATGTTAATATTGTACAATAACTAATCAAGCAATATCAAATTTGTTCTCCAAAATATCCAAACATTTCTGCGTAACAAAAGTATGTGTTGTTTGGCCAAATTTCCTCAAACGCAACTAGCACCTTCGTAGGCCAACACTTGTCGTTTTTTTTATGCAATATAAGCCTTATTGTATTTTATACAAAATTAATGCCAAGTTCTAGCCAATACATTTCACGCTTAATCTTTCCAAAATCTCATAAAAATTAGTCTCCAGTTATTAAAGTGATATTATGTTCCCACAAAAATGAATAAATTAAGCAAAGTTTAATACAACAATAATTTTATTTATAGTTTAACTTACAGGAATTGAAGGACTCCTGGCTTATACACTGCTGAATTTCTGGTTCGTGAACTCTCATTAGTTCAGACTCAATGAGCTCTCATTAGCTCTGCCGCAGGTTGGCTATGTATTGCCCTATCTCCCTTGGCTTCTTAGTCTCAAAAACCACTTCGAGTCCGGCCACTGCCCTCTACTCGGAATTTCTCTTAGCAAGTCCCTTCTCTTACATTTGCCCACGCTTGTATACCCAAAATAAAATTAGTCCTATGCATAAATTAACATGATAATTTTATTCTGTCCACTCAGGCTTCTCATTGCCTATTTAAAATTCACATTGAGTATTACGTAAGCCCTATTGACTAATAACAAACTAGGTGTGGCTTAATTATTTAAACGTCACAGGCTCAACAAAACATGGTTTGGCTAGCTCACCTATTTCCAGAATGTTGGGTATGAGAGCCTCAATAAAAGTACATTGAGTTACCCTCTACATAAAACACATTCCAAATTCCAACTTCCAATGTACTAGATTCAGGCCACATAAAAGTAAATGTTGTTTCTACAACTCCAATGTACTAGATTCAGGCCACATAAAAATAAACTTGTTTCTACAACCAATAAAGAGTAAATTCGTTTTATTAAAATAAAGTCACTCTGTGACACCTATAAAGTTTGATTTCATAGCTCACGATATAGCTGATTCAATTTGCCCCTTCCGAACAGGCACATTTTAAACGGGCACTGCACTAGACGTACTGAATGAGCTTGAGCGTCAACACAGCGTCAACACACACAGAAAGCATCAACACAGCCTCAACACCTACAAAAACGCATTCAAATTGACAAAAGCAGTGTTCAAATCGTGCAGAATGGGCAAAAACGAAATTTTGGCTTAAAATCAATAAGTTAAACGTCTGAAAATTGCAATTTTCAGTTCAAGAAAATTGGCCCTCCGTGCAGCTCCGAAATCGGCAGCCATGTTGCCTCAGGGGCAGCGCGGACCATACGGTTGCAGACCAGTAAATCGGTCCGAAATTGCCTACGCCGGCCAAATCACGATTTGCATGCCCTCAAAATCTTCAGTATTTGAGCATGCTGTGGGCCATGAACTTGAGGGTTTGTAAAAAAAATATGGGTGGAAGCCGTGCACAGGACTGTGAGCTTGTAGTTCCGTTCAATTTGGATGAAATTGGGGCCCTTAAAGCTCTCTATTTTGCAATGGAGTGTAGGCATCGTTTTTCAAAATGGCGATGGGCTTCAGGACTATTTTCAGGGGTGATCATCTTCGGATGGAAATTTCTCCTAAAAGTCATCAGTTGACCCCCCCCCCCCCAAAAAAAAAATTGAACAGAAAATGAAAGATGATGAAATAAGCTTTAATTTGATGTGTGTCTCGAACACCTTGGAGAGTTGTGAGTATTTTTCCCCGTATTTCTGAAGTGGGAGCATTTACCATTGGGGTCTATGGAAGTTTATTTACTGGTCTGTAACCATACCAATAGCAAATTATAAAGTAAATCAACAGAGGGCGGTCGTTATGTGTGAATCTGCATACGACATGATAATTTAATTACTTGCACAACCATATCTGAAATGGTGTACTCCAAGCTCCGCGCGAATGCAACATGGTGGACAAAGGCCGTGCTGCTTAGAGATCATTTGTTCGCGTGAAAAAAAACCCACAATTTTCAAAAGAGAAATATAACTTCTGACCACCGAAAAACTCTTTAAGTCTAAACTTTACAGTTCTATGCCTTTTTGAATGCGTTTTGGAAGTGTTGACGGTGTGTTAACGCTTTTCTCGTGTGTTGACGCTGTGTTGATGCTTATTAGTACGACCCGTAGCAGGCGGACGCGAACTCGCGGCCGCGACTTATAAAGGCCGCGCCTTATTATGTCTCGGCCGCGAGTTATCGCGGCCGCGAGTTTATCACACTTGGAGAGAAATACACCCCTGAGAAAAATGGACTTGCCCCCTAAAAAGAGAGAGACACACGTTCTGAAAGAGAGGCTTACGGAAGTGTATTTAGGACATGACCCCCCAAACAATTTCCGGCCCTCTATTTCGCCCGGGCGGATTACTATTTCGCCCGGGCGGATTACTAATTCCCCCGGGCGGATTACTATTTCGCCCGGGCGGATTACTAATTCGCCCAGACGGATTACTAATTCGCCCGGGCGAATTAGTAATCTGCCTGGCCGGGAGAATTAGTAATCTGCCCGGGCGGAATAGTAGTCTGCCTGGGCGAATTAGTAATCCGCCCAGGCGGAATAGTAATCCGCCCGGGCGTAATAGTAATCCGCCCGGGAGAAATGCTAATCCGCCCGAGCGAAATAGTAATCCGCCCGAGCGAAATAGTAATCCGCCCGGGCGAAATAGTAATCCGCCCGGGCGAAATAGTAATCCGCCCGGGCGAAGAAGTGGGCCTAAAAAAATATTTTCGGTCATGTCCTAAATACGCTTCCGTAGAGGCTAGCTACCATGAATGAGAGAGACACACGCTATGAAAGCGAGGCTAGCAACCGACCATGAAAGAGAAACGCACCACCGCGAAAGAGAAACGCACCGATGTGAAAGAGAAAGAGGTACCTGGCCCTAACGGACTTCCGTGCATGTGTATATGTGTGGTGTTGCGCGTACATAATGAAGAAGGGGGCTGCACGAAAACATAAGCCAGGCATCAACTGTGAAATTCAAAACACCCGGTGCCAGCTTTGGGAGCATTTCACACTGCGACAAAACATACCGAACGCTTGGTGGCGCACTGTAGGGCTCCTTTTGGGAATCACCGTTTTATGCCTGCCTGGAGACCGAGGCGTTTTACAAAACTCGGCTTCGTCCACAATCATTTCAAGCCTGCAATGTCCAAACTAAATGGAAATCACTTTGACGCAAATCACTTTGACCTCAATTTGTGGTTCTTCATGATACTGAGGCAAAACAAAGGCGAATATTAAGCCGAGGTCTCCCAAGTCAGGCGCCTGAAACAATTTCATGAAGCACGCCGAATTGTGAAATAAACCTCAGAGACGTATTATAGACTTAACAAAAACCCTCAACGGTGACAAAACAAAGTTATTTAAAAGCCAATGTTGACCTTCAGAAATAGGAAGATCAGAATAATGTGTTAATGACGTGGATACGAGCTCATGTTTTCTGTGGCCCTCTCGCGGTTCTTGAGGCCGAGGACGGCCGCCCTCTTGAGTCAAGGCGGGACACTTTGCCCAGCTTTTCGAAAATAGTTAGCATATAGAATCTTCTCGGTTTAGTAATTGATAATAGAACTTTTCTTGGCAAAATTATACCAATTTCAAGTTTGTAGGGACCTCACAAAAATGTCAAGTATAATTCTTTTTCTTTTCGACCGCCCAAGGAACCAATTTGCAATGTCGAAATCATATAGTAAAAAACAAGTCAATCAAATAAGGCCCCATGAAAAGAATCGCACCTCAATCTGTATATTGAAAATTGATAACATAACTTTTCTTGGCAAATTATACCACTTCGAAGTTTGTCGGGACCTCCTGAAAAGGTTAAATTTAATTCCTTTTTCTTTTCGACCGTCCAAGGAACCAATTTGCAATATCGAAACCGTAAAGTAAAAAACAAATCAATCAAATTAGGCCCCACGCAAAGAATCGCACCACAATCTGTATATTGAAAATTTGTCACTTATTTTCTGAGTTTGGGACGAGCCTCGAATGTTATTTTCATCAGTTACCTATGTATTCTGTGACACAAACGTTATGTAATTAACAGCGGTGCGTCTACGGGACTCGACAATTACGATGAACAGTATTGATCGCGGAGACTTAAATTGGGTCGACGCTCAACCATGGTCTTGAAATTACTTATTTAGAGGAACTTATTGTCAGGGGAAAAGAAGTTAACCATGTTACATCCGATGAAAGAATTCCGACCTTCAGCAGTAAATGCTATATATTTTGCATCCCGGTACAAGCTTGTCACCTAGAAAACATAGTTTTGACAGCACTCCTGACAGTTACTATAAATATTCGTGTGTTTAACGATCTTTTCAAATGCTACAATTTCGTGGTCAAACGTGTTTCCAAGTCAAAACAGTGACTTCTCACGACAGTGTCCTTCTGAATAGTCCTTCGGAGCTATTCAGTACTTTGTTCCAAAGTCAAAAGCGCAATATTATTACGCAGGCTGGTCTGCCTCTCGTCTCGGCATACAGACGCCAAAGGAGGTTGTTTTTCTAACTAAGGACTGATCAGTGCACAGCAACTAAACAAACATGGAGGAGATTCTGTGGCTACGCATCTTCAACACCATCGTTGGTATTGTCGGCATCTTGGGTAACAGTCTCGTCTGTGTTGTCATCGGTAGAGTCTCATCGATGCAGACTCGTACCAACGCCTTCATCTTCCACCAAGCTGTGGTGGATCTTCTTGGTTCATTAATGATTCTTTTGCAGAGCCAGGCCCCGATACCCGACCCTATGCCCAATAACGCTCTCGGGTGGGTAGTGTGCCACGTCTGGTACTCAAGATTTGCACTTTTCCTCATTTATGTGATATCAACGTTCAACCTGTTGTCGTTGACTATGGAGCGGTACTTCGCCATCGTTCACCCATTCAAGTACGAGGCAGCCTTCGACAAGCGCCCAAGACTGAAAGTTGGCGTGGTCATTGCGGCGTGTTGGATTGTTGGAAGCGTTATTAACTCTTACGTCCTTGCCAACTTTCAGTTACAAGGCGGTAGATGCGTCTCGAGTGTTGCGAGTCGGTCCAAAGTCATCGGGGGCGTGACGGCCGTTCTGCAGTACATCGTGCCGGTGGCAGTGATGCTGTTTGCATACATTCGCATCAGCGCGGAGCTCAAGAGAGGAGCGGCCCGGGTAGGACCGGCACCGGCCAACGTACGTCCAGCTGCTGGAGCAGCCAACGCAGATGGCAACGCCCAACAAGAAGGTATGATGGAGTCCTTACTCCGAGCTAGACGTAATACCTTCAAGATGCTCTTGATCGTCTTCATCACCTTCCTGGTATGCTGGACACCAAACCAGGTCATCTATCTCGCGTTCAATTTTGGCTGGAAGCTCAACATCGACGAGTGGTATTACCTGCTGTCTGTAGCGATGGTGGCTGCCAATAGCTGCGTCAATCCGGCCATCTACGCCTTCAAGTATCGTCAATTCCGCAAGGGGCTACGCGAAGTTTTTTGCAGACGACTCATGCGCCTTGACGAAGCTTCAAATTCTGGATCTTACACGTAAACAATAAGATGAATTTCTTATCTTGTCAACATTCCTACGGGTCGTTATGGCCACAGGAAAAGAACTCCGCACTCGGGGGGGGGGGGGGTAATCCCTAACAGTAAAATATGCACTGGTGTCTGGTGAACATAGAAAAATTGCCTGGTTTTCATACTTACACTGACTTATTGCAACAGAAATACGCAATCTGTAACGAAACTAGTTTGCCTTTGAATTGTATGCATGAAGTGTTGAGAACAGACTGAAATTTGTTGGAATTGAGTATAAAAAGTTGTTGAACGAGGAAAGACACTCTGAGAGGTAGGTGGTCTCTCTAGTATTATGTTCCTTCAATAAAGAGGGTCGCTTATCCAAATTAGTATTGAACTGACGTCCATAATTCTTGTAGCTCTTTGTACAATACGATATGTGCCGATCAGTCAGAATGATTCCCTTGTCAATGTGTTATGGCATAACCACAGAGTTACTATTGGTCACAATTGTATTTTTTTTTAAAACACTGATGGGCTAAAAAGGAGTTTTGTGCGTGACCTCTTTGACGATAAAGGTGAGTCTAGAGCGCTCTACATGGGCGTCCCCAGGATTTTTTTCTAGGGGGGTGCAAAGCACATTCCCCCCTAGACTTGATGGCAAGTCGTTAGACTATAGTGGTTTATGTCCGTCATCAGCGCCAGAATCCGCATACCGGCCATGCCACCGCCGTTCACGCAACGTGAGCGCTATAACCAGTCATGCAAAAGTCATGTGTACATGTACGATGTACATACACGTACACCGCGCGGCATGGTCAGTACGTGTCTAACGACTTGACTAACACGTTTTCAAGCGAATATTCATATATGCAGCCACTGCAATAGCGAGGGCCAATGGTAGCCCATCTGGCTTACGAAGAAACATCCATTATAAATATAGGGGTAATTATTACACGATCATTTGAAGTTTCCATATGATTTGGGTTTGGCAGTCCTATTTTTAAAATTTCGGTAAAAAAGAGTATAACATTGTCGATATTATTAGTACTTTTGCAATTGTCTTTGAATAAAAAGGAGTAACATTTAGTGTAATTATGGAACTTGTAACTGTTACGAATAATTGTAAATCACCTTCAAAAAATGAAGTGCGCACCGACTGTAAACGTAAGCTCCTTTTGGCCCATGTGCTTTGCTGTAGTTTAACTAATCACCCTGAAAACGAACTCGTTCGCGGTTTCACGAAGGTGTCGTTGCCGTCAAGAAAACTTGTGATTGCCTCCGTTTGTTGGGGTTTCAGAGCACTGGTAATCCCTAGTTTTCACAACCCATGGTCAATGGAACCTCTATACTTTTCGGTGCCAGCTTCCAACTCCTCCATATAACGTTGGGCGATAGGAAATCCGAAGCGATTGAGATTGAGAATATTTTGTGAAGACGCCGCGATAATCAGGCGTTGTGTGTATGTGTCACGCCCCAACTATCGCATCGGTCCCAACTATAGTTAGGACTGTCCCAACTATAGTGCGGCAGTTGGGTCGGCCCAACTATAGTTAGGACTGGAGTTGCGCCGGATGCTTCATGCTTGATAGATCTTGTTGGATTAAATGTTCCGCGGCGCTGGCACCGTGTATTCGTCGTGCATGCATGCCGCAAGGCTGGCCGGTCACGTGGTACTGCCTAGTTGGACGAGTTGTCCAGCTGCTGGGTTTTATTATCCAGCAACATTTTGCAAAATTCAAAGATTGCCATGGCTGGCCAACTATAGATGGGCCCCACCCATAGCTAATGTCAAAGGTCCCAAGTCGGACATGTAAGCCAATGTAAGAAGAGCTGTAGAGAATGTTTTATAGTCGTACATCAGTTGTAAACTATAGTTGCGACTGCCAAATAAAAATATTGCGGTGGTCCAACTACAGATGGTCCCCACCCATAGATCATTTCATTGGTCCCCAGTAAAGTCAGATGTGTATTAGAGTTGTAGGGAATGTTTTATAATCGTACAACAATGTACACTATAGTTGGGACCGCAAAATAAAAAGATTGGGATGGCCCAACTATAGATTCGCCCCATCAATAGCTAATTTCAGTGGTCCCCAGTAAAGTCAGACGTGTATCAGAGCTGTAGGGAACGTTTTATGGTTGTACATCAATGTAAACTATAGTTGGGACACCGCAAAATAAAAAGATCGGAGTGGCCCAACTATAGATGGGCCAGCCCAACAATGGAACTTACAGTTGGGACCGTCCCAACTATAGTTGGGACAGGCCCAACTATAGTTGGGCCAGCCCAACTGTGGAACTACAGTTGGGCCTGTCCCAACTATAGTTGGGACAGGCCCAACTATAGTTGGGACCGATGCGATAGTTGGGGCGTGACATATGTACGTGTGTGTGTGTCGTCGCGTCGTGCAAGCCAAAACGCATCGGCTAAGAGATGCCTGTTGGATATTCATATCTTCTTGATTCTTAACCAATCAGACTGCTCCGTCCAATTTTGGTAGCAAGTCTCATTGCCTGTGCACAAACTGACAACGAGTTATTCAAGTCTGTAATGCAGTACACGCATGGGATCGCACACGCATGGGGTCGAAAATGTACGTAGCGTCCCCGCTACTAGGACAGTATGCGGTACGTCGTACCCCCGGCACAGAGCTTGGCAGTCGCGCGCGGCGCGGCGGACGCGATTAAAACCACTCATTACAGACTTGATTTCAAGTCTAATTCCCCCCCAAAAAGCCTTGTACTTTCGCAAATTCTCAATTTATCACTTTTTCGAGAGTGGGCGGGGGGCCAATTCTTTTCTTCCAAACGACATCCGCATATGGGTGTACGCTATGGCGATTTGGACTTAACTTTTCTAAAAACACGAGAAGAAAATATAAAATTAAAAATCACGACCCTGTATCGACTGAGATATCGCAGTGCTCGCGAAAACGTGGGGAAAAACATTATTATTTACCTGCGTACGTATCATAAAAGTATCGTAGAGGGCGCTGAATAACCATGTATGCGGATGTCGTTTGGGAAAAGAAAATTCGCGGGCGGGGGACATTTGCCCACATCACCCCAATTGACACCCTGCAGACGCCCATTTTGTTAAATGTGTATTACATTAATGGCAGATATGCTTCACACCTCTTTTTCCTTTTTTTCCCCTTTCTTTTTTCTCTATTTTTCCCCCTATTTTTTTTGCTTTTCCAGCCCCCCCCCCCTCGCGACACCCATGGCGCTCTATGTCGACGTTCAATATTAGAATCAACTTGAGTACGGCAGCATCATTAAGGCCGTCCGAAATTCCTTACGTAATTTGGGATTCAAGCAAAGCATTTGCTTTCCTTTTATTCCATTTAGGCCTAAAGTAAAAAGAAACTTGAAAAGTATTCTACCCGCACATATTTGCCTAAGTTAAAAAGCTTGCCTGTATCAAAAGTTATTGATAATCAATGTGTCATCATCTAGATGTAGTTTTTATTCAGAATGTCATTCCTGGTTAATTGTGACACAAAATTAAGGTGGTTGAAATATATATTAGTTCATAAATGATTTGTGTTCTTTCTGTCAAATAGAGAGTGAATGATTGATTCGTATTATTTTATTTTGCACACGTGAGATATCAACATTGTTGGTGACCCAAATTAGTGAATAGATTAAGGAGACCTTGAATAATGTACTTTCTGTGTTTAGTAAAGAATCTTATGAGGGAGCTCTATGGTTGACCTTTTATCCCAACACCGGATATGGTGATATGGTGGCGGAAAACGCGCCAAATATACAAGTTTCGCGCGCTATCGATCCCTCTAACTTTTGATTTTTTGATTCAGCACCCCCAAATTTGGTAAGATGGACGTGTTACCAACTTGTACTCAAAAATGCCTCTTCTTGCCTTAAAACAAGCCCTTTTTTGAAATCTCACCCAGTCTTTTAAGTCATTATTCTTTCTTTACGGAAATAAGAATACAGTACAGGATAAGTCAAAAAGAAAGTGACCCGGATTAAGTATTGTTTTCTTGAAAAGCAATCAAATTTGATACACCAATCAAGTATGTCTTAAAATAGCATATTCTTCCACTCATATGAAGAAAAGAATTACTGAAATTGATCCATACAATCAGACGTTATGCATGTTTTACTAAAATATACCATTTTTATAGCTGTCCATGGAATGCCATTGGAAGCTATTGAGCTTAGAGAGAATTACAGATTACACACGAGCATTCAAATACAAATGAGATTTTAATAATTGAAATCTAGACTGAAACATTATTTTTATTGTCAGATTTTGTGTTTTGAATATGTGGAACAAGTCAACTTTTGTTTGTAAAATATTGATGGCAATTTTTGTATGTTGTCCTTTGCAAGTTCTCGTTCATTCATCGAGGTGGGAAACTGTTCATGTTCATTGTACTCAATGGGTATCACCCAGTTTGTAGAACGGTAAATGATCAGTGGTGGACCGCCCAGTTTTGTGGGTTTTTTTTATTGAAATAGACATAGCTTGGGAATAGAGTATGCAAAATACGTGAACTGTTCACAGTTAAAAGTCAATAAGTAATTATGTAATGGAGCAAGCTAAATATTTTAAACATATTTTTCGGATTCGGTCACTTTCTTTTTGACTCACCCTGCATGAAGCTATTGTACGTATGCGTTACTTAGTACAGAGGTCATGGGAGCCACAGAACGTCACGTGATCAGAACGTAAGTGGCATAGTAGTTGCCACCCGCACGTTAGCGCAGCAGATAACTGAACATTTCAGGGAAATCTTTCAAATGTGGATACAAGCACCAAAATCGGCACAAATGCTCCTTAGGGATTACGCTTTTGATAAAGCCCGTTAGCCACTGACTCGAAAATCAAGATGCCGCCATTTCTTGCAAGGAAATATCACCTTTTTTTTGCAATAAAATCACCCAGGCTGGGCCTAAATGTATGATCTTGGTGTTGAATCATACATTTGTAACCATGTAGAAGCTGAATTTAGAATTACCAAGAAGCTTCCTTGTACTATATCTAAGCCATGCAATAAA